TTTTTTTTTTTTTTTTTTGAATGGAAACAGTCATGAAATATTGCCTGCTCTTGTCATCCAGAATAAACTGTTCCATTGACATCTACCAACCACTATTTCTAGCCTGCTTTTTTCCCCTGTGTTGCTGTGTAGCAATTGTAGAGAAACACAAGTTAGATTACTTCCTGGTCTTCACTAGAGCTATGCAAAAGAGTTCATTAAATAGTATCAGTGCAGTTACACATTGTTCCAAGCATGTGAGAGTGTGGAACTGAAGCCTGCTGTCTGTTGTCACACATTGCCTTATTACTGAAATTAAATGGGTGGCTTTTTCAAACATGCCYTAATCTCACCAGCTAGAGTTGCTCACTGCACACGGATTGCTCATTGATAGTCTCAGTATAAACAACCAGACCTGCTGAGACACTGTGTCCAAATTCATGAAATGTTGTTATCCACTGCTTATTATTTGTCACTATACAAGCCATTGTTGTCACCATGTGTGTGCTGTGGCTTTCTTTGTAGGTTTATGAGATCCTGAATTCTGCAGAGCTTATCTGTTTGATGAGGTATGTCTCAATACCCAGCACGTCTACAGCAGAGTGCATGGTGGCTGCCAATCAAAGCTGCAAGAAGGCAGGAGTCTGGATAGGCAATGGAAACACAGAAAAGGCACAGCTTTCATTTGTTAACCTAAATACAGATGGACATACTTGTGAGGTATGTGGAAAAGTTTTTTTCTGGCACCCAGATGTATTTCAGAAGAATTAATTGCATTTTAACAGCAGGATATTACTTCTGGAAAGCTAAGTTTTGAGAGAACAAAGATTGCTCATAAGTGAGTCATCATTGTRTCCATGAAATGAGGTAGAAAAGCAGGTGCTTTTTACTCTCTTCCTGCWATCCAGCCTGAACTTTCTCATAATACTGTCTTTCCACTACTGGATTACTTTCTTCCACTGAGATGGAAACTATTTCTAGCATGGAGGCCACAGAAAGGAGTAGTAATTAGGCAGCCCTTCATATCTCTACCTCCTCTAACAATCCAGGTAGTCTCTTAATTTCTCACTTCCCACAAATGYCATCTCCTTTTGCCATTTTGGTGATGCCCTCCAGCTCTTTTCATTTGATTTTTGTATGTTTCAGTCCTGTCCCTTCAGCAAAGGGGAAAGGTTTTATCCGGGCTTGATGTGCTGTGATAAATATGTGTGCCAAAACTGAGTGTGACTCATCATCAAAGTTGTTTAAGTTCTATTTCCATCTGCCATCTGATGTTGACCATCACACATCTGAATTGGTAGCTTTAGTATAAATTATAAATTGGATTGTTTTTTCTAAAAATAAAATGAGAAAAAGAAATATTAGGCCAGTACTTTCACTGTTAGCAATTAGTATTGCAACAGTTCCATTTGTTCAAATCTCTGACAGCTTTGAGACCTTGAATAGAATAGAGAGAATATCTTTTTTGTCAGCATTCAGCTGAGAGATGTTCCTGTGTCCTGTTTGAGGGGTCCTTTCCAGCACTTTGAAGATAGGTGGCACAGTTGATGATGTGTTCTGCTAACAGGGAAATTGGATTTCTTAAAGGAGAAGGTAGGCCAAGGGTCTGTCCAGAGTCCAGTAAGATTGTACTACATTTTTATCATCAGTAATTTACTAGCATTTAGCCTAATTGAAATCATGACCAAGTTGTTCTTCTTTTCGGATTCAGGATATTGCTGACAGTAAAATTATAAGTTTGGCCTTAGTGACTCTTCCTGCTGAGAAGGAAAACTGGATTGTGGCAGGAACCCAGTCTGGTTCTCTGTGGGCAGTTAACACAGAAGATGAAACAAGGCATCGTCTGCAGAAAATGTCAGATTCCATCACTTGTTTGTTCTGTAATTCTCTTTCAAAGCAAAGGTATAAATGAATTTTAAATATTTTGGGTTACATTTTGAAAATACTACTAAACAGAGGTGGTCAGAAAATGACATCTGTACATTTTGCAATTTTATTCAGACAACTGCTTAATTTGCCTGTGTTTCCAATTAATTTTGCCCTCAGTGTAACTGGGGACTACATTCCTGATCACAGATGTCTTGTTTGCTTTTAATGTTTAATTGAATACTTGAAATACTAGAGACATCTCATTTAAATTTTTCTTACCTGACAAAGGCACTTCTACAATCCATTATTATTTTATTTKATTTCAGCAAACAGAAGAATTTCTTCTTGGTAGGCACAGCTGATGGCAAACTAGCAGTTTTTGAAGACAGAGCTGTAAAGGTAGACTTGCTCTTTGTTGTCTCTTCTAAGTGCTATCAGTAATGTCTAAAGCTGCTTCCAAGAATAGCTTTATTTCATGCCACTTATTTTTTGATTGCTTTTCTAAAACTAAAATTAATTTTCTACTGCAGTCTGAGAGGAACTGCACATGTTTTGCAATAACTGCTGTAAACAGTGAAGAGGTGGAAAATTCCTTTGAAAGTCCTGGCAAACTGGCTAGAGACTGACATTAATGGATGTTGTTAAAAACATTCTAGCCGTTTTAATCTCCTTTATTTACTGCTGTAATCACTCCTATTTCTTCTCATTTAGTAAATTTTTGTAGAACATCTATATTCAAAAATAAAATATTGTATAGGTTTTCTGTAGGTCTAAGTTCTGCTCACAGAACAGATAAAAAATGTTAGGAGCTATTTATATCAGCTGGTACCTGAAGGTTTAGTTCTTGACCGTGTGCAGTTTAGAGCAGTTATGGAATTGCAGGACATTTCAGAACTAGATTATGGTCCAATCTTCAAAGACATGGATGTGACTTTCCAACCTGTTCCTGAATTGTGCCAGGGGCTGCAGAAAGTGTCAGTCCCTGCTSTGGCCTGTTTCTGCTCACAGGCTGTTTGCTGTGGGACATCTATAATGGGAATACAATGCTTTTCAGTCAGTAACATTCTGGAAATGTTCTGAACCATCAGAAAATCTGGATGTGTAAGTTTAATTCAGCAGGCTGGGTGGCCTTGTTTCAACAAGATTCTGAGTGTCTCAATCCTCGTTTCTAATGAAGAGTTTTCTCTTGCAGTGTAAGGGTGCTACACCTTTGAAGATACTGACTATAGGAAATGTTAGCACACCCCTGATGTGCTTAAATGAATCCTCATGCTTCTCTGAAAAAAATGTCATCTGGGGAGGCTGTGGAACAAAAATCATTGCCTTAAGCAGTGACTTCTCTGTTCAAAAGCTTATTGAAACAAAGACAAGTCAACTGTAAGTTTTTTTATTTTTTACATAATGTTACTTGGCTTGTTTGTTTTCATTAAATATTTCTGACAGCACTTTGATATAATGTCTTATTTKAGAGCTCGTTCTTTGAGTTTGTGTGTTTCTGTTCTTTTCCTTGATAATATAGATGGAGTATCAGTGAGTAGAGTTGAAAGTATTTGTTGCTCCTTTTAAACAAGGAAATACATTTTTTACTTCATAAAGGATTTATAAAGTCAATATCTATTCAGAAAATGTATAAATGCAACTGATCAGTTTTTCTCCTCCAGYTGCATTAGTCCAGGCCCTGTTTACTTTACTTAGAATTACACATACATATTTATCATAGTATTTGTCCTTCCATGTTTGTCAGTATGATATGTGTGCATATCTTTACCCTATATATATTTAATCACGTCTGATTGCTGGCTTCTCACTATTTAGAAATTACTGACTGAAGATTTGGGAGTGTTTGATTTAATTCTCACATGGACAAATCCTACTCTGAACTTAAAGGGAGGTTTTCCTGAGCAGGGAAAATAGTGTTTGATGAGAAAGATTTATTAATAGACTTTGAGCATTAATGTGCCTCCAAGGATGTAATCAGCCTAACTTGGCTACTGTGAGAATTTATCTCAAACTGTGGGAAGATTAAAGCAAAGCCTTTCAGTTGTATCTTAGCATAATTTGGTTTTAAGGCTGAATGATTCTGCAAGAGTCAAACTGATCCCACTCACAGTAGTCAAGTTTTTCTGCTAAATATTTTCTGTGTATCTAACTGGAGTTATTCTCTCTCTTCTAGGTTCTGTCATAATGCTTACAGTGATGCAAACATTATTTCAATAGCAATAGACAAATCCATCTACTTGGCAAAGAAAAACAGCCATTTTGTGGAAATTTGGGACAAGAAGACAGAAAAACTTTCAGAATTAATTGACTGTGCACATTTTCTGAAGTGAGTATTTTATTTCAGATTGTTGGCCTGGTGGGGAAGCTGAATATCAGATTGCCTTCTCCAGCATGGTACCCTAACCTGACAGAGGTAAGGGATTTGCCCATTTCATTGGGCATGTGGGGATTTCCTATCCTGTTTTTGGCCCAGAACTTCAGAATATTCCATGTAGAATCCCACTTTTTAAAGACCCTTACTATATTTCACTATTTCTGTATGATGTCAAGAAGAGACTTTTAGCTCAAGAAAGAAGTGAGTCTTTTGCTGTGCTTGAGGTGCTAATACTAATCCAGTTACTTCCTGCATCCCCTGAACAAGAATGGCTTCTCCCTCCAGTGCACAAATTCAGTAGGAAATCGGAGTTTTATTAACAGTGACAATTTTTTCATTTGCATTTAAAGTGTTCCTCTCCCTTAGCATGCCACATCCATTTCTTTTTATGGTGAGGTTAGAAGCAGGTGTAGGTGTGCTCTTCCCACTTTGCTGTGACATTAATCTCCTGCAGACTGGGAGAKAACAGAGAAGTATACCTGCCTCCTATTTAAAGGTCTTCTGAAGCAGACCAGCTGGCTCTTACAAGTCAAACAGTTTACATCCCAGTTTGTTTACTTGAGAATTTTGTGWGTTGTCTTGGTGAGCGATTGTTTAAAAGTCTGGTATTCAGAGAGTCATTTTAACAGTTGTAGAATAGGGTGCCACCAAATTCCAATATAAATTCTTTCCATACTTATAGGAACAAAGTGGAAAAATTAAGTAAGGAATCAAAACATAAACTGGCTTATTCTGGAAGAGTGAAGACAATTTGCCTGCAGAAAAACACAGCGCTGTGGATAGGGACAGGAGGAGGACATATCTTGCTGCTCGATTTATCAACGCGTCGTCCTGTACGAGTTATAGACAAGTTCTGTGATTCTGTTCGAGTCATGATAACAGCTCAGCTGGGTAAGTAAAACCATCAGGTGACAAGTACTTCAAAATCAGTGCTAAGTTTAGGTTTGCTCTGTCCTGTTTGTTATGGTGTTCCAGGAACAGATTAGCATTATACATGATTTGTTCATTCATTCTACTCCACTGCTGTCATCTCCCATCAGTGTCAGACTCTGGTGTTAGCTGAACACTAGCAGGCTGAATACGTGTGCCCACATAAAGCAGAAGCTCTTCTCTGTCTTGTCACTGGTCTGCACAGGAACACCCCGACCTTCACTTTATCCTTCACTTCATCAGCGGAGCTCTCACCATCCTCTGTCATGATCTTCTCTTAAGTGTTTCTGTGTTCTYTCTCCCTCTCAAGTACTATACTTCTGGCTTCTCTCTCTGTGGACCATGTTAGATTTTAGTAATTTTTCCTTCATTGCYTATTGCTTTGTTTTCTTCTCCCATCCTGATGTAGGAATGGTTCTTTTAGATTTGGGTCACAGGCAGATCACAGCAGAGCTGGGAAAGTGCCACRCACCTGGACTTGGGGTGTGGGCTTGTACAGATGTGCTGTTCCTGTCATCAGGGACAGTTGTAGGCAAACAGGATTTGCAGGGTTTCAGTGGTGACCACGAACAGCCAGAGGAATGTAGCTGAATAAGGGGCATCCCTTTGCCATTGAAACTTTCTTCACCTGTACACTGTGCTGCATCTTTCCCAAATGTAATAAAGGCCATATCAACTCAAGTTCATGGTACTGCAGTGGTCAATACATTCAAAATACACATTTACTTCAAAAATTACTTTGTGGTACAACATGTGGATTCCCATCACTTTCCACTGTGTTTTGGAAAAAAACTCTGGAGTTTCCCTGTCAGTGTTACTTAAAGTGTGCTTGCTGTCAGA